AGAAATAATGTCCTAGTAATCAGACGGTCATATTCATACATTCCTATAAATATCTAGATGTATATTCTAAAAACAACTTTCTCTGATATCAGGTTATGTTTTACATAAACAACTTATCTTATTTACTAGTAAAATCATTTCTAAAAATTCTCTGAGTGTAGATCCTCCATAATACAAAATCAAAACGGAAAACAGTCAAACGAAAACGATTACTACCGTCTTTGTCTGACGTGGAAACAGTTCAAATGTGATGGGGCCTTTCAAAACCAAGGCCTTTCACCAGTTCAGTCGTTATCGGGAGGAGAGAATAAAGACTACAATATGGGTCACATATTAAAAGATGGGTGTAACTTTGTACATGGAAGCAAGTTAGTCCATTTTGCCCACCTATAAGTTTTTTGTTGGATTAAAAAAAATATAGAGTAAGGACCTAGAGTAAGGCTCGAGTCCAGGACCATGCAAAAATGTCTCTCAATTAAGTTACCAAGAAAGTTAACGGTGTTAAATTTACTAGTATCTAGCCAACATGGTTAAGCCTTAAATATACTGGACAATAAAACATGACCATTTTGAAGTCTAAAGGGGACTATATTTCAGAAGGTGTTATTAAAATTTATTCCCAGACAGACGTTTATGTGACTACACGTCAATTGTTCGATATTTTAAAAGAGCTCCTGACAAGATTATATTCAGATATTTTTCCTAGGCTTAAAAAGGATGGAAGTATCTGGATCATACTTAATCTCAAACGATTCAGTGAGTGTGTAAATTTTCTTCATTTCATTGGAGACTCTTAAATATATTCAACCTTGGGTTACAAAGAACTGTTGCATATTTTCCAGTCTTAACATACAAGAAGGATCGTCCATGGTTAAAATTTACATGGAATGGAGAATGGTGGCTACTTAATTGTTTGCCTCAGGGGTTTTCTTTCTCATTTATATTTTTTACGAAGTTACTGAAGGTGCCATTTTCACATTTTTCGGGCCTTTGGCATTTTCACAAGGATTTACGTAGATAATTATCTTGTGATGGCAAATTCTAAGAAAAAGAATGATAGAAGCTGTGGAGTACCTTGCATCAACATTGGATAAGTAGATTTCCCAATTAATTTGAAAAAAAATATTCGTGCCATGTCATGAAATATTATTGGGTTTTGTATTAAATTCCAAATACGTGACAATAAACCTTTCAAAGACGGAGAGTAAAATCAGAAGATTTTTATAAAACAATGAGATTAGTATCTGAGATTTAGTCAGTTTCATTTAGTCAATTTGGTTGCAGCAGGAGAAGCAGTACCTTGGACACCCTTAGAATATAAATGTGTAAAAATTTTAAGGAACGAGTCACTTAAGGACAGCCATGGCGTTTTTGATATGTTGTTGTTCGGATGAAAAGGCTGAATGTCTCCTAAAATGGTGTACAAGTAACATTCACTCTTGTATTAAATCATTGAATACATTATATCCAGACATATTTAGCTCCACAGATGCATCAATATCCGGTTTAGGGGCCTGTACAGGTGACAAAAATACTAGTGGTCACTGGGCTGAACATGAGAAAGACAAGCTGTTCTTTTTGGTCTTCAGGCTCTTTTACACGATATAAAACAGAAACATGTTCGAACAAAATCGGATAATATAACAGTTACAGCAATCATTATGGAAGTGTTAACAAACACCTGCTGGATGTGGTGTCGATTTCTGATTGGGCTCATGAGAAGGGATTAGATTTAGCTGCTGAATTCATACAAGGTTGTTTAAATATTACTGCGGATTTGGCTGCACGTGTAAGAGACTTTTTG